ATGTTGACGTGTTCAATACTTATTTCACCCGCTGTATAATATAATATATATATACCCGTGGTCGCACCCTGTCTTCACTCTTCAATTGTCTTTCCTTCCTGTCTCTTCTCGTCACTTCAAGGAGAGAAACCGTTCGAGTGTCGACTCTGTGGTCAGCGCTCGCGGGACTACTCAGCCATGATCAAGCACCTGCGGACGCACGGCGGGGCTGCACCCTACCAGTGCACCGTGTGTCTGGAGTTCTGCTGCAGCCTGGTCGCCATGCAGAGGCACGTCAAGAGCCACTCCGTGCAGGACTTCCCCCCCGACTGGAGCATCAGCCGCACTTACCTGTACATCTCCCACATATGAGTCTGCACAGCTTCTCACACACTTAAACTTTAACAGTGGGGGCTAATATGTGGGCTAATAAAGTATTGTTTCATTTAAAGATGAAGATTTGATTTAAAACAAAGGTCTGCAGAGTTTTAAAACATTTTGGAGGTAATTTGTGAGCACACACTGAACTGTCAGGRGTGTAAAACTTGCACACATACTGAAACTCATCTGTTCGATTCACAATAACAGGGCAGCTGGGGTGGCAGCACCATTTTTCCAGTGAGATAAAAGGGTTTTGAAAGTGTTTATCAAGGCTTTAGTGTCCAATCTTCAATRAGTGACGCAGGAATCCTCCCTCTGACTTTCACAATTATTTGACTTGCTCTTTAAGTTTAAGTTTAAGTTTTTTTCATTTCTTTCATTTTTTTTAGCCTTGATTCCATTTATTGCGCCCTCAAGTGGACATAAAACAGCATTTTTCCTGTAATAAAGGGGCCAGAAGTGTCACAGAAACTATAAAATGTTATTTTTAAATTGTTGATGCTAACTAACAGTCATGTAGTTGTTTATAATCAAAGGTTGTGTATGTTTATCAATATTCATATTATTGTAATTACATTTATTATTATTTAATTCATCAAAACTGATCTTTTACTTGGTATAAGGGAGCTTATTCCATCTAAATGACTTTGACTTTCAGCACTGCAATAAAAATGCTTTATGTTTGAATTTAAAAGAGGGAAAAAATCTAAAATTTTTACATTTAGGTGTTTTTTTTCATTGGTTGTAGAACAATGTAGCATTTGCACCTTTGTGTGACAAACTAGTTTTTACTTTTTTCTTTTTTTYCCCTCTGATTGTTGGGTTTCCTGTGTATTGTGCTGCTGCCACCATGCTCAGAGATCCACTGATTCTACAAATTGCTTGGTACAATTCACGTTTTGGGGTAAATGAAATTGTTTCATACAACTGAAATAGTWTTTAGCAGCTATATAACAGTCGCCTACAGTAGGCTCCAGACTTTTTGCATTATGTACCATTAAGTATTGTTAGAGCTTTAAATACAGCTTTCAAGCCAATATCCACAGAAATACAGTTTTTTATTTGTACTGAATTTTACTGTTTGTACAAGGCAGAGAATAAACTATAAACTATTCTTTAGTTATTTTTAGTCATGTGTGTCTTTAAAATATGAATGTATGCCATGTATTGGTCTATGAATACGTCAAATTGAAAAGCTTACAATAAAGCGGCGTCCTCATTTGTACAGATATTAAAAGCAGACGCAAATATTAACAGTCTCCAGCAACATTAAACTGATCATAATTATTTAAAAAGCTGAATAAAATAATGTGTGCTTTTCGTTTTCATGACTGATCATGCATACTGCTTTTAATAAGTTACTCCATTAAAGCCAGGTTTGATGAAACACCTACAATATCTGCATTTTGTCACAGTAACAACCAACCAGATTCTACCTAACTGGCTTGTGATGGTTATGATCAACATAATGTACTCAAAAGTAATAAAAACTAAAATGTGCATGTGTTTTTTGTTACCTTTGTAAGACCATTTATTTTGATGCTCCAACTTAAAAGGACCTGCTGATATTTTGGGGATGATTTTGTGGATCTTCATAAGCTCAAACGCCATTGGTTTGTGGGGATTTAAGTAGAAAGGGTCAGGGTTAGAATACAGAACTTAATGGAAGATGAATTACATAGTCCTTATAAAGATACAAAAGCAAATGTGTGTGTTTTTGTTTATATGGCATAGTGAGGTCCAACTATAAGGACTTTCTGTAACCATAACAGGGTCCCTACATTTCTACAGGGACTTTTGAGGGTTTAAACTGTGTTCTAGCCCACTATTGATCCATCAACGGTGGGCAATAATGTTTTTTACCTTTGTACGTGTTAGCTAGTGGTGTCCCGATACCAGCTTTTTTTATAAGTACTCGTACTCGTACAAAATGCCTCGATACACAAGATCGATACCAGTATCAGTACTGATATTTCCATTGAATGTTTCACAGTTTATATTTCAAGTGAAAAGTTCAATGTTTAAGAAATGGATACAAGTTGTAAGAAAATCATATTTGTTATTTAATTTAAAAAGTTTCAATAGTCATGCTGCTCATTTGATTTGATCCAATCAGAGGAGCTGTAGGCATGTAAGGAAGGACAGTCTCCTACTTCTACATAAAGCTCTAACTCAGTAAGTACTCAGTATTTGTACTCAGTATTGATGGGTACCCACACTGAAATACACTTAGTTTGAGAAAACTGGTATCGGCAGATCCTTGTTGTTAACAAAATATGTTATGAACTGGTTGGATTTTAATAAAACTCTAATAAAGTAACCATGTGATTACAATCTACAAATGCATGAATTACATCTACACAATTATATTTTTATTTACACATGTTTCTGCTGTAAAGTTAACATCTGTGGAAAAAGTTAAAACATATGTTTCCCAATGATTAATTACACAATATAAATTACATACCTCAGAAAATGTCTAAGGTATGGTGTACAAAACTTTATGTCAWGCTCCTCTCTCCACTTGCTTCAGTTTCATTATCAGACATCCTTTCCTCCTGAATGTCACCAATAACAAACAGGCTTTGAGACGGAGACTTGTCGTTTTCCTCCGCCCAGGCCTCCCAGTGTCTGCAGGCTTTGTGGCCTTGGACTCGACACTCTGCCAGAGCCATTAACTGCTGAGCCCGGCTGGCACTGCAGTTGGGCAGCGGCACCTTGTAGGTGGTGTGGAAGCGCCGCAGGTCCACCCTGAACGAGCCCTTCTCGCGCGTCATGCAGGGTTCGAAGCGGGCGCCCCACTCGATCTCTGTTTCGATGTAAGAGGTTTTGGCTTGGCACATCATTCCTGTTTCATTGTGAGGAGAAGGAAGAGGCTGTTAGTTTGGAGTCTGACAAACACAAGCGCTGCAGTACACAACATGTGCCACATGGTGTCGCAATATGTTTGCATGTCGACTCACGCTTGGTACCAAGTGGCTCAAACTTTTCACAATAAAACTAGTTATTTGTCAATATCAATAAAAAAATCAATATCAATAAAAAAAGTAGTACAAATAATATCATCGGTTTGAAAGATTTTTTTGATTTTGCAGATTTTATTGATTTTTATCACATGTGCAATTAATGTCCAAATTACATTCTAAAGAATATCTTATATGTATGCAGTGTTGTACCAAAAAATTACTTTGGTAAAAGTTAAAGTCTCCTTTAGGAATATTACTTGAGTAAAAGTCTTAAAGTATCTGGTATTTTTTTGTACTTAAGTATTAAAAGTAAAAGTATTGATTTAAAATGAGCAGTTAGATTTTCTATGAGGACATTTGTTAGGTGTCCTCCTAAAAAAATGCAGAAATGACTTTATCGTATTAAAATGATTAATTTATGTTAAATTTAGGATGCACTAGTCCAGCTGTTTCAGTTTATATACATATATCAAGGCTGCACAAAGCTTTTCCCCGAAATGAAAATCTATCTGAGGGCTGCGGCCAAATGCAATAATATAATTCATGAAATACAAATACTTCTTAAGTATAGTACCTTTTATTTTAATGATTATGTCCTGCTGGAGAGTGACATGATTTGTTTGTGTACAAACTAATACGSTATCAGAGTTTTATATATTTATACTTCTCATATGGATAGTTTTTATATTTTACAACAACAAGCTGCAATGAAAACAAGCATAAATGAAATAAAAGTAACAACTTTCTACTTCTTGCCTTTTTTAAAAATGTAAGAAGTAGAAAGTACACAGAATTGTGTGAAAATGTAAGAAGTAGAAGTAAAAAGTAAGCTGAAAAATAATTACTCAAGTAAAGTACAGATACCCAAAATTTCTCAAGTACTGTAACAAAATATTTGTACTTAGTTACTTTACAACTCTGTGTGTACATTTCAACATTCATATGATTCAGATGAGATAATGTGAGGAGACACTGATACATTATTACCACTTTATCTGCCACTTTTTATTAAAGGGAGGTGTTGAAGTCATAAAACAGCTCGTGTTGTTTTCATTCTGAGCTTTGTCTTGCCAAATTGTGTCATTTGTTGTCTTCAATTTTTACTTTTGTTTAAATGACTAATACTGTTTGTTGGCAATGTCAGTTTTTTTTACATCAATTCTACTAACAGTCATGCGAAGAAACATGAAAGCCTTTGTGATTCACTGTCACAAACTCTGTGCAGATGGGAAAAATATAAACCAGAGGTTTCAAAGCTTGTTTTATTGTGACGTAATTGTTGTGTTTCAATTCAGGGGTTGCAGCACAGACCGCGGGCCACGTAGGCCACATAGTGCGTTTAAACTGTATGAAACAGTTGTGAAATAAAACAAGCATGATGACATATGTTTGCATAACTATGCCCAGTCACCATGATGCTACGTGTCTTCTCACACACCTTCAGTTAGAACATGAGATGCATTCAAACGTCTAAAATCTCTGTGTTGTTATTGTCCTTGGAATGTTTTTTTGTTATTTCTGGTGGGAAAATGTTTATTCATAGACACTGCAGACGGAATTTTTTTTAAGTTTATTTTAAGTTCACATCTTACTCCACAGTTTGTTTGAAACCTTAATCACCCGCATGAAAACAAGGRAGGAAAGCTTTTAAAATACTTATTTTCCCTGGTTAGTTTATTTTGGAAGCTGCAGGACATTAAAAAAATTCCCACAAAATGTGCTACAATAAGTGACTTTGGGGATGTCCTTGCAATCTTTGTGCTAAATCAAATAAATCTGAGAAGAGTTCTTAAAAAGAAGTTTCATCGATGCCTCAGAAGTAAACGAGTCCAAAAAAATAATAATAATAAAACGGCACAAAGACAAACTTAAGGAAAAGCCCTTGAAATACATCAGCTCTCTGCTTAAGAAAACACAAAAATTTGGACTCACACCCAGTGGCCGCAGACAATTTTTACAGCAGTCAGACTGAGACCACTGGTGACACAGGGCTGACCCAGAAAATTACTTATTTTTCCCTACATGGCAATTGGCTGAGTATTTCATGTTTCTCATTTATTTACACAGGCAGTGATTACCGTGCAGAATTACATCATGAGAACTGCCTATCCGAGCAGTGAAGCTGAAATGAATGTTCTGCATATGGAAATGGCTTCACCAAATCTCTCCTGGCAGAGTGGGTGTTGTGATGTCTACTGAGGTGACCACCCATAGCCTCTGGCTCCGCCCCTGCTAGCATTGTAGTTTTTTTCTTTCTGTGTGAGTCTGCTAAGCAGACCAAAGAAAAACTAAGGCACGGGAATACATTAGATAATACATTTTGCATGTGGCTAAATAGAGCTAATCAAGCCTATGGTTAGTCGATGGCCCTCTTTTGCATGTGACTAACCTGTTTGTCCAGGTGGAGGCAGTGCTTATAAGGCTGAGTTCACCTGGTCTGTGTTCATGTATTTTGGTTCCACTCTGGTTTTCTGTCTTGTCCTTCTCTGTTTACTTCCTCCTGCCTGTCTTTGCTCCAGCCCCGCCCACTCTCACCTGTTCGTCATGTTTCATTCCCAGGTGTTTCTCACAACTTTGTTGTGACTGGTTCTTTTTTGGGGTGTAATCATTTTATTATTTGTTATGATTATTATTATTATTATTATTATTATTAGTAGTAGTAGTAGTAGTAGTAGTAGTAGTAGTAGYAGTAGTAGTAGTAGTAGTAGTAGTAGTATTACATATATTTATACATATAATTTTTCCTCTTTTTTTAATTTATAGTTCCTCATTCCCCCTGGCAGCATTGATATTTTTTGTACCATGTTCGAATGTTCAATAAAGGTTCATTTAAAAAAAGTAATTTAAAAATGTTCACTGTTTTGGCAGCAATGAATTGTGGGTAATACACCACCGAAGTCCGTAAAAATGCAGACTTCGCAGAATGGCGGAAATAGTACCTAAAACTGGCGGGGCGAAGGGCAGATGTGGAGAATGTGGGACACGCTGCACTCAAACCCTTCAACATGAAAGCACATTTGAAGTGCACAAGGGCGGAATGAGGGTGGGAGTGTGGGTGTTGGGACAGGGCCTACGTCTTAGTCTCATGCCAAGTCCTGGAATCTTTGTTATATACCTTTGCTGCCACTCCAGCCTTTTGTTTTTGAATTTAAATAGCCTTTCTTGCACCTTTTTTGACCTTAATCATTCAGTTCTGCATCTGGGGTTCAAACCAACCTTCCCATCATTACAGTATGATTGATGTGGAAATTGTAACTAAATACAGTCTTTGTAAAGTTATATTAGAAAGCGTTGATGTGACGCAGGGTTTTGAGCTGAAGGTACGTTTCTTGATTACTACTCTATGGTTTTTTATTACCTGTGGCCTCAACAATTCCTTCCAAGATGACGATGATCTCAAACTGCTGCCGACTGAGCTGCTCGGGACCCAGTTCCCACAGGGGACTCTTGGCATCAATGTTGTGCTTGATGACTTGAGGCTCCACCAGGAAAAGTCTGTCGGACCCAGATTCATAACCCAGATTAATCTCAGTTTGCTCAAGCGGAAGAAACTCCCCCTCGGCTGTTTGGCGGGACTTGATTAACTTGGCCCGAACTTTTGCGTCCACCATGTGGCTCTCTCTCAAGTCCCCCAGACGAAACATCAGGCAGAGCTGGTCGTCGCGGTTCGAGATGACACAGGTGCGGCTGAAAAGAAGAGTCTCGGCTCGCTTCTTTGGGCGGGATATTTTCACAAACATACAACCGACCATGAGGGCATCTATCATGGAGCCAACGATGCACTGCATCATGACCAGCAGGACGCCCTCGTGGCAGGCAGGAGACACTGTACGTGACCCGTAACCAATCGTACGCTGCGTCTCCACAGAGAAGAGCAGAGCCGAAATGAAGCCATCTATGCCTAAATAACAGTGCTTTTGTTCTTGGTCGTGGTTCTCGGGGGTGCCAAGAGGTTGCAAAGGTCCTAGGTCATCTCGAAAATATGCATTAACATAGTAGAGCCCAGCAAATAGGAACCATGTAGTGATGTAGCACATCATGAAAACAAATAAAAACCAGCGGTACTGGAGGTCCACAAAAGAGGTAAAGATATCGGACAAAAAACGACCCCTTTCGTCAATGTGGCACAGGTTGACGCGACACTTCCCCTCTTTGGACACATAGCGAAGTTGCTCTCTAATGTCTGGGGGGAGTCTGGGGGTTTGGTTGCTTTCACTCTCCAGGAGTTTGCTTCGAGCCTTGGCAAGCTTCTCCACATGTCTGCCAGGACTTGATATGTTGCTGCGTGCAGGCGAGAGGTGGGCGCTGTGGACGGGGCTGCTGTTATTCAGATGAAGGGGACTGAGGGTGCCCATGTTGGGGACGCTGAGGGCATGGCGGCGGAACGGCGAAACGTGGTTGGTCTCTTTCAGCGAACGTCGACGCCAAGGGGTTTGCTCTCCAGCCGTAGCATCAGGGATGCAAACTGGAACCTGGCAGATGCTACTGGCACAAGAAATGTCGGTKGCACTTCTGTGGGGTTTCTTGGCTGATGTAAGCTCAGCAATGTTTCCTGGAGTTGACTCATCCAACACAAATCTTCTTGTTTCCGTCTGGGGAAAAAAATAAAAGAAAACATTTCTTGCTACAGTTCCTCTGGCCACAGTTTACTGAGTTCATCAGTACTTGGTGAACTGCAGTAGCACACAGCTTCAGTGTGTTTCCCATGGCCACTGTATATAATTGTCCAATGAACAAATAGTTGCAAGACTTCCTGTGGTTACAGTATTCTCAAAAGAAAGCTTTGACATTAAATGTCTCAACAGCTGAAAAATGTAAGCTTATATTGGAGTAAGAATAAATATAAAGAGTATTTATTTACTTTTATGTAACCAGAAAAATGCTGTTGTGATCACAAATCTCTTTTGCAAGGGAGGCCTGGGCTGGAATGCTTTTTGTCTGTAAGAGGAAACCGGAGTGCTCAGAGAAAAGTCACACAAGGACAAGGAGATCATTCAAACTCTGCAGAAAAGCACTTTCTTATTGTGAAGCATCAGTGCTGCTCAAACGCCACTGTGTGTTTAGTTACTTTAAAGGGAACTCTGACTAGTTGTAACATTAAACATTATTTTACATATTTTTACTTCAACTATAAATACAAACTGTAAAAAATACTGATTCAAGTTTTATAATAAAAAAATGTCACACGGTTGTCACTATGTTGTTTACGCCGCAAAGCATTATGGGTATATGGCGTTTACCGTTCCTCCAGCGCGAGCTCTCTTCAACGTTAAGTTTGCACATCATCTTACATTCAGCTGATTCAAAATAAAAGTGTAGCGTGTTGACAGAGAGGAGAATCTAGAAATGACTCAGACTGAAACTAAAAACATGGATGGAGGACAGAGCTGCTTCAAGGAAGGAGAACCTCAGCTTTAGCCTTTTAGCATCTACCCAGGTTAATATGCATATAGGTTTATAGTAACTAAGTACATTTACTTCATTACAGTACGTACATAATTTATTTAAGAATTTGTAATTTTATAGATTTTTTTTTAAAACGCAACTTTTATTTTTATTTTATTACATTTAAAACCTAAAAGTTATATGTTTACTTCGGAACCCACGATTAGTTGTAAAATTAGACTTTATTCGATAAAAATATATTTTAACTGTAAAATAAAGACAATGGAGGACAACAGAGCTGCTTCATGAAAGAAGAACCCCAGCTTAGCCTGTTAGCTTTAGCTTTAGCGCCAACACTATATTGCCTCGTATGTATTAGCTCGGCGCTAGCGCGACAAACTAAGCTAAACTGTTGCCCTCCATCCATATTCTCAGTTGCAGGCTGTGTCATTTCTGCCTTCTCCTCTCTGTCAACAATCGTCAGATATTGTTCAAGATTAAATTTCAGAGTGGATATAGCTCGCTAGCTCGCGGAGGACCTGTCGACGTCATCATTTGCCTTAGCTTTGCGTGTAAATGAAATGGCTCAGTCCGTGTAATATATATTTTTAAAAATTAAATTTAAAATTTGTAAAAACTAAACATCCTATAGTCTTTATTTTACTGTTAAAATAAATGTTTATCGAATAAAGTCTAATGTTACAACTAATCGTGGATCCCTTTAAAATTTAACACCTAGGTACACATAAAGCAAGTACAGCAATTTACACAATTTCTTTAAAAGACAGTGTGTGAATTTACTGTTCAGTGCAACCAGTTTAGTTAAGTAAATTTAACACTTCATTTCTTAGAGTGTGAGGAAAAGTACTTTTACTTTCCCGATTATTGTGAGCAGTTTTATAACTTATACCTAAGTAAAATCTGTGAAACTCGTTTTCACCAGTCATTTTCTGTTAAGGTATTTTTACATTTACTTAGTTATTTTTTTCAATTACTTTATGCATACGTATGTGTATATACTCTGTGTGTATGTTATTAGCTCCAGAGCTGATTTACTAAGCATCACGTTTTATTGTTTCAACCCATTTCTTGTGCAGAACATAGAAACTAATACAAATTAGAACTTTGTCACGCATTAAAGCTTTGAATCTGTGTATAATGTGACTGCGACTCTTGGTAGTTTTGTCTGTAGTGGCACCCATCATCATCCTCCCCAGAATGCATTGCATCAGTATCAAAATGTCAATGTGTTTAAGCGAAAAATGTAATAAACAGACAATTTTTAAAGTAATTCAGTGTTCACGTGTCACAAACAACTCTTGGTAGAACAGAGGAATGACAGCATATTAAAACCTGAACACAAACTAACTGAAAAGTGCCTTTACAGAAAATAAAACTCACTGGCTTACATTTATTAGGAAGCTCTCACACTGAATTTTCTCTCCTGAAGGGGTGGACCGGACCACCATGATGGACTGCGGCGGTTGACAGGTCACAGATGTTCGTTGCACTGGAAACTTCTCCCGCGCAGATCTGAGGGGCCCTCCTGGGGTTTCTGCTGCATYGGTATTGGTTTCCACATTCACCTCTTCTCTTGCACCAGCAGACATCACAACCATGAGAGCAGGATAAACACCAGCAGCAGAAAATACTCACAAACCTTCCCTCATAGTGCACASCCCTTTGTTTGGATAAAGACATAAAGACACAAAAGAACACTGTCAGACTTTTAAACCAATACGGTAATCAATGTAGTGCAAATAACTACCTTAAACACATCGTCTGTTGTTACTTTTCATTATAAAAAGTGAGATTTAATAGTTAAATCTGACATGAACTGACCTGAGGTTGAAGTTATTATTCTTTGCCAAGCACTGGAAACATTAGAATCAGTGTTTTCAATCTGCATTCCTTCTGTGAGACTGGCAGCCAACACGTGGAGGAAGGCTTTGTGAGGACACAGTATATCTTCTCCAGCTAAGCTGCAACATCCTGCTGCCTCAGCATTTCTACCACTGTACCCTTCAGAGTACAGCAAATCACTCAACCCTATCTTCTCCTGTACAATATCTACACAGGAGATCCTTCTAAAAGTATTTAGACATTTTTTATATTGAGAATGAAGGGAAATGTTTAAAAACATCATCAAGTGAAAGGTCTGAACCGAAACTTTACAAAAATTGAGTTTTTGTTTTTTTCCTGCTAGAGGCACTCCTGTGATTTAAGGGTTAGTGCTAATTACTTGGTTTAATCACTGTAATTTTATTTATGGAAATAGCTATAAACAGTCTCCTGCAAGCAACTGCATAAAAACAGGGTTTGATTCACTGTCTGAACAGTATCCTGCCTTGACAGGGGAATTCAGAACTGAAATCATCTCATATGTTTTGTCCAAGGCACCGAATATGTTTTTGGATGTTGTTTTAACCTCTGTGCAGCTTTTAGAAAAATAAAAGGGCTCCCAAAGCTCAGGCCCTTCATCAGAGACCTGGGAGCTTGAGGAGTGTTTTTAGGTGGGAACAAAACTGATGGCTGGATCTTCCAAAACTCACAGCCAATCTTTTCTGGTCTTCGCGGTCGACCAGGAACCCAGCCCACCTAGAAAGGGTAGGTCGGGTCCTTCGAAGGATACAGCCCCTGAATTTGGACACAGTCCTAGATGGTTTGTGTGCAGGTGAGGAACCAACAAGGAATATATCTATTATTAAAATACAGATACTGACAGCAGCTGAAAAACGTCTTTATAAAAATCATTGGGCGAAAACACAAGCACAAAGGATGACAAACTGAACTGACTGTAAAATACACAATGGACTGAAATGGAAGTAGAGAAAAGACAGAATATAAAGAGACTAATGAGATGACAACATCTGAGGAGAGACATGACCCACATAGCAAACAGGTGTGGGTCAGATCTGGTGTCAAGCTGGCACTCCTTGCTCACTGCTGAAATTGCAAGTGGTTTACCAACCAGATGTAGGTCAGGTCAGGTAATGATGGCACACCACAACTGGYCCGGTTGGGGTTTGKATTGTGCGGTGCTGGCCCATGCATGGACCGCCTCTGGCAAACCACGTCTGGACCACCAAAGGGCCGTCACTCTTTCCTGTATCTGGGCCGAGTTTTTGAGTGTTTAGTACATTGTGTTGGCCCGAACTGTGCGAAGGATCGGGTGCGCGTGGGAACACAAAGTAAAGACACGGGGAATAAGGAAACACTAACGAGGAACAATAAATAACACAAAAAATACGTAAACAGGCTTTGATATCTCTCAAGCTTCTTGTGTTTCTTTTTCCTGATGTAACAGTTGGTATTTGCTACATCTATCACCATTGCATTCTAGCTTATTTACCACAAAGTCCGGTTTGTCTGGATCTGGAAATTCCACAGTGTATGTTCCCTGGCATCTTACATCCTGCTATTTCAACAGCTGCTAGTGTTAGTACCAAAGTAGAGATGAATCAAGAGTTTGTCACACTTCTTTTCAGTGCTTTGACATCTCTGACTCAAAATCTCATCATACTTCCAAGCAAATCCAACAGATGTGCCTTACATTGCATGCAACCCCCGAATTGAGACACTGCCACTGTCCTGCATCTTTTAGATGTTTTCCTGCTTCAACACGGCTGACTGAAATGAATGAGTGATTAACGGGCTTCTGCTAAACTTGATGAAATTCAGAGTAGGTAATTTAATTATTTTAATCGGGTGTGATAGAGCAGGTAAATGTCTAAAACATGCTGGAGAGTGGGAAATGTCTATTAAATGTCATATTCTAAGGAAACTCCTCCAGTTTCAGACCAAAATAAAACCTAAGGAGGATCAGTTGCTCATGAAACTTGGGTGGAGTACGCCAATGTGAAGAAACACATTTCGAGTGATTTTTTTTTTACTTGTAAAAAGCACTTGTAAAAGTGCTTTTCTGAGTTTAAAATATTTTTTTATTTGATTTAATTTTGGGAGGTTGACTACCTGTTCAGATTTCCAAGATAAACCTGTGTGTTTAGTCTGCTTAGAGACGCTGTCTGCCATGAAGGATTTAATGTAAGACTCCATCAACACGTTGCACAAAGATWATATGAGAAGTTTACTGACGTCACAAATACATAAACAACAGTGACTTTTTATCATTTTACCATAAACCAAGCATCTTTGAGTGTCCTAAAAATACTATATAAGTTTGATGCATTATTTATTACTGCTTTTACCAGAACCTCAACCATGCAGGAGTCTGCACTCCAGGTGTTGCACTTCAGCTCGCTAAAGTAAGTGTTTATTATTCATTTTTATTTAATTATTAACCTTTATTTAACAGGTAAATCCCACTGAGATCACAGATCTCTTTTGCAGGGGAGGCCTGAGTCTGTTTTAAAGTTTTCAACTAAACTTTAAACTTTAAGCCAAACTGAGGCAACACAAGCATGCATGGATGCTGCTCCTTCCTGTCTGTTGACCAATAGGAGAGGAGCTTACCCAGGATGGACTGCCCACCTTATTTGCCTAATGAGGCATGAAACACTTAAGGAAATTTAAAAACAGGAGACAGAGAAATGTAAATGCAACACATGGAAATAAAGACTTGTGAGAAAAATTATATTAAAAATAAAAATAATTTAAGAGACGCAGATGTGTGTACAAAAGGGAAAAGAAAAATATATTAT